GTATCGGACATAAAAAAGTGGTATCGTGCCATCTCTAATTTAAACCAACTGCAATCCTCTTCCAACTGTAACAGCCCCAACCTCAAGGATAATTATAAAGTTATAGTGAAGTTTCAGGCAGTGTGAAGATTTATTTATTTTTTTTGTCTCTTGTACGCCTTGAATGTGAACAGTTTTAAGTTAAATAAAAACAACAAAACACACACATAAAACACAACTACCCACAGCCATTCACTGCTAAGGGTTTGTAGATCTCCTAAACAAACCCTGAGCTGTATCAAGAGGCTCAGCCGAGGTCCAATCTGACATTTATCTCTCGGGCCATTCTGCTGATGGCTGCACGACATCGCTTTAGGAAGCAGCTGTTTACTGTCAGAGATCTAGGTCAGGACAGAGACGCAGAGCTGGACACTGCTAGCAGACTATATGGCCTCTCGTGCATCTGTAATGGCCTCTAAAAGATACAGGAGGGGGGTGGACGTGGTCACATCAGAGGAGTGGCAGATATTGGAGTACATGATAAAGTAAAAACATTCAGTCAAAGGCCAATAAACAATGAAAACTTAAAATCATCCAGTTCTAACAAAGCACATTATAAAAGTAAAGAAAAAAGCTTACAACCAGTCAGAAAAGGGCAAAATCTACTGTACGTGCTTTCAGTCAAGTCCTCAGCTGATGCCATTTTTCCATTCAATAAGAAATTGAAAGAAATAATTTTATGATGGCACAATATTATCCTTCCAAATGATAATTAAACCTACTCAGAACACCAGAGCTAATTGCTGTTAAAAGGTATATAAATTTAATTCATTATTTCCAATTATAAGATTAAACTTTTATTGTATTTACAGTGTTGTTAGTGAAGTATTTGATATCTTGGGCACTGAAATTCCTGTTACAGTTAAATTGAGAATCAGCTTAAGAAGATTTGAATAATCCTTGTCTTTTTTTCTTTTTTTTTTTCTTTTTTTTTTGCCTGTCACGTTTGGCTCTTTTGCCATCAGAATTATTGTCTAAAGGCAAAGAAAGATGCCCAACGGATTTACTTTACCAAATTGACCATCCCAGCCTTGCCGGGTCCATTTGATTCACCTTTTATTGTTTATTTTATTTTCACTTACTGAATACGGGACAGACTTGACTGGGGGAAAGAAGGGGAAAAAGAAACAGCTGAGAAGAGGGACGGGGGAGAAGGGCACAAAAAACAAAAACCAACAGAATGGGCAGAAGAAAAAAAAAGAAAAAAAATGCATATATCGATCACCTGGATCACCTGTTGAGAAAGAAAAAAAGAGAACAAGCAGAAGAAAAAAAAAGAAAAAAAATGCATATATCGATCACCTGGATCACCTGTTGAGAAAGAAAAAAGAGAACAAGCAGAAGAGAACAAGAGTAATAGAATAAACAACATCACAATGATATATAGGAATATGACAGTATTCCCATATAAGGATTGAATAATCCTTGTCAATGTCATCTATGATCAAAGAGTAGGATTACAAGTTCCAGGTATTTACTTATTTACTATGAAGTACTGCGTGAGATATTATAGCATCTCACTCACAAATTGACCTGAATACTTATAGATATGTATGCAAAAAATTTTTTTTTTTTAAAAACTAGAGATGGCACGATACCACTTTTTTATGTCTGATACCGATATCATAAATTTGGATATCTGCCGATACTGATACGAATAGTGTGTTTTTTAATCAATAAAACTGTTTTTTTATTATCTTGCTGCCTTTTGTATAAGTTCATACTCAAGTTTAAATAAACAACAACACTAAAGCTATTCTGTTATACCTGTATGTAAAAAATACACTGCACCCAAAATATTTCATAGTTCAGCAATACTGATCAAACTAATAACCTTAAACCTACTCCATCCTTCCTATTCTGGTATTTTAAAGAGTACTTAGCAGAAATATTAAGCAACCTAACTAATAGGGTTGCAAACTCCCAGCAAAAAAAATAGGGAACCACCCTCCACCTCATGATGCTTAATCGATGTAATCAACTTTAATTTGATGCAGTGTGGGGGAAAAAATGCACAGAAATAAATTATTTTTCAAGAATAATTAAATAGATTCAACATCTTTCTTCAACAGAATTGCAGACTGCACAGATGGTATCTTCCCAAAGGAAAAAGTACTAGCTTACTAGGGTTTATTAGACTTAATAGTCACTATATACAGTAATGGACTTCTATTCATTTTACATCAGATTAAAACTTTGGGTATAAGATTCAGATAATTATTTATTAAAAAATGAGAATAAGAAAGAAAAGTATGTCTTTGTGCCCCCTTTTTCCATGTTAATGCCCTATCGGCAGTGTTGGGAAGGTTACTTTTAAAATGTATTCCATTACAGATTACAGAATACATGCCCCAAAATGTATTCTGTAACGTATTCCGTTACGTTACTCAATGAGAGTAACGTATTCTGAATACTTTGGATTACTTAATATATTATCATGCTTTTTACAACTACGTGAATGTACTATTGCTGTGATTTATTACTGTTACTGAAGGTCCGCGGCTCCGAACTGGACCTCTGACTAATACGGCGGATTCTGTGTCGGGCTCGTAGCCGAAAAATAGCTTTACTTTGTTGTGTCGGTCAACTTTGCTTGCGAGAGACAAAGAGAGGCGTTGAAAGGCTGCTCCAATGGAACTTATTGTTTCGGAGGAAAATACGAACACAGTGTACAGTCAAGTCTTAATAGCTTACTTATAACTGGGCTCGTCAGGCACTCTTCTTGGCTGCAGTGGTTATTATTATATGTACATGCTTCCAGCTCCCATTTTTGCTCGATGACAGCTC